CCAGTGCATCAATGTGGGGAAGATCTCCTGCCATACAGTGGGCATGCGCCAAAATGGCCCCTTTTGGAACCCCTACACCCCACACCCTAAACCTTAAGCCCCTAAATCCTAAACCCCAAGCCCCTAAACCCTGAACCTCGAGTGGCCTGCTGGCTTCGGACAGGGGATGCATAAAAAAAAGAGAATCCCCAAAATTGCCATATCTTAGCTCACAGCAAGTTTGGAATTTTTGGCAAAGGAAAGGAGTTCAGATGGTGAAACAAGCAATATGTAGGGTAGGATTTTGATGTGAACTCATGGGCAAATCTGTTGCAACATTCTTGGTGCACTCTCGCACATCCGATGTCACACTTCGATGCCTGAACCGGAGCCCTTCATGCAACAAAGGCCCAAACGCGAAGAGTAAGTCCTGCAGTTCTCCTTAGATAAATAGAATGTACCTACTGGGCAGCCGCAATATTAGCCATAGTCTAAACTCCTAGTAGTCCCCTTATGAAGCCCTATAGTAGTCCCCTTAAGCCCTATGGAACCCTCCTATATAATCCCATATATGAACCCTCCTTTAAGGAGTTTATCCCCCTTGAGTAGATAGAACAGGGTTAGGGTGTAGGGTTTAAGGTTTAGGGTTAGGGTTTAGGGTTTAGGGTATAGTCCCCCTTAAGTAGATAGAATATGGCTTTGGGTATATCATCATAAGATCACCATATACCCCATATTCTATCTACTTAAGGGGGACTATACATCCACAAACCAGGATTTCGAGTTTAGGGCTTAGGGTGAATCCCTGGGAAAGCATGAAAACGTTTCGGACCATGCAGACTTAAAAAGACAAATCCCAAAAACTGAACCCTGACCTGAAGTCTCTAAACTCTGAACCTTAAGCCCAGGATCCGTGCAAGCGTTTGCCTAAACCTTAGACCTGCAACCCTCAACCATACACCTGATGCCTTGAACCCTAAACCTCAAACCCAAACCCCCCTAAACCCTAAACCCCAGACCCCTGCCACTCAGGAGCAGACAGCACCTCCGACAGAGGCCGCCACCAGCAGCGGCAAGCCTGTTACAGGCACGCGGCTTGCGTTACCTATGGCTCCAGCTACTGGGCTGCCATTAAGAAACTTATAGTCCCCCTTAAGTAGATAGAATATGGGGTATATGATATATGGGGATCTTATTAAAATACACCCAAAGCCATATTCTATCTACTTAAGTGGGACTATAGATTAAGTTACCGCAATATAGGCGTACAGTAAGGAATAAAGTTTGCTTATCAGCTTTAGTGCGTACACCCAGGTTCGAACTACTAAGCTGTAGGTAGTGGGATCCACAGGTAGTGTTTGGGGGTTCTCTCCAAAGCCTTCCTGAAACTTAAACCCTTTACCCTAACCCTATCACAAGAAGCACACGAAGCCCTGGAGTAGACAAAAGGCGGTTCCTTGCAAGACCCAATGCACCTAGCAAGAAAAGGAACCGGACGAATTGTCGGGTTTAGGGTTTAGGGCCTAGACAGGAATCACAGCTGAAACATCGCAGCCCTCATGTAGAAACCTGAATAACTAGGACCATCATCGCATAATAGCCCTACATAATATACACAAGTATACACATGCATATAATATACATATATATATATACAGATGTAGGTAGATTGTCAAAAACCCTATGCCAGCCATCGGGCCCCCTACATGCCGGTATGATTTTAATCTCATGTTGGACACCAAACACGTACGCGCACCACTACTCTGGAGGAGCCCTATATACCAAGAACATGCAGTACACCCCATCAGGGTTCAGGGCTTAGGGCTTACTAGCCCTAAACCCTAAGCCTTAAATCCTAAACCCTAAATCCTAAACCCTACACCCTAAACCCTACATCCTAAACCCTAAACCCACTTCATCAGAGCCCCGTCAAAGCCGGGCCTATGTCGTCCTTGCGCCCTGCTCTGGCCATGGCAGCCTCTCTTTGGGAACGAAGGCTGCGTTCATAAGAACCCCATGAGAGTTTAGGGGGTTTAGGGTTTAGGGGTTTAGGGGTTTAGGGTTTAGGGTTTTGGGTTTGCGTTAAGCCCCAAACCAACAAAGGATCATAACCCTACAAATCTTGCAAAACCAAACCACTATAAAGGCCTCCACTGTCTTTGCATCCCCCAACAGCTGCTGTCTGGGCAGGTTCATGCCTTGTCTGGCTGCCCTCGATTTGGTGCTTGGGGTTTAGAGTGCTGTCGGGCTGAGTCAGGGATAGAAAGAGGGAGCTTTGGGGTCAGAATGAGCTTGGTGCTTCGTTCAAGCCCGCGCCACCCCACAACCAAGTTAAAAAAAGCTTTAACCCTTGAACCCTAGCCCCTTTAACCCAAAACCCTTAAACCTTAAACCCCTTGACTCTTAAACCTTGAGCCCTAAGAGCTATTTTGGGACAACTGCTAGAACCCTGGCATAAGGGCAGGTGGAGCAATGACTGGGCTGCTGTTAAGGAATGTAATCTAGTCTAAGTGACCAGAATCTGAGCTAGAATCTAAACTCCGTAGAAGGAGCAAATGCGGGATTATGTAGAGGAGTAGCATAAGGGTTAACAAGGGCGATAAAAGGAGTTAGACTATGGCTCCTATGTCTGGCAAATAATGCGGTTTCCTTGTTACTTGATTTAAGTTCCCCAGCAGCAACCGAGATTGGAGTATTTGATCAGGATTTTAGAGCTCATGGCTCAATCACGTTTGTCAGGAGCAAGCAGGTATGACCAAGACCACTGGGGACCCTAACCCTAGACCCTTCACCCTACACCCTGGTCCACCAAGAACCAGCAAGGACCACCTCATCTCCGACACGATCGGAATCCTAAAGCCCAAGGTTTAAGGTTTACTGGGCTGCTGTTAAGGGACTTAAATTAGGTTACTGTAAGAAGGAAACGGTAACATGTACTATATACTCATAGTATGGTAACCTAAACCCGAGAGAAGGTTTGGGGCTCGGGGTTTAGAGTTGAGCAGGCAACGAAGGGAACATAATCCCTGTATAATCCCAATATATTCATTTTCTATTCCCTACTAACTCCCAGTCAGCATACTGTGGCGCAACAATTCCTGCCTCGCGTGCCTGGAGCCTTCTTTGCCTTTTTTGCCCTGAAGACTGATTCAAAGACCGTAGGCCTGAAACCCTAATCCGCCAAACTAAACCGCGAACCCTCAACCCCAATCTTGTCTTAGCTTCCATTCTCTTGTCCATCCCCTTGACCCCAACTCAATAGTAGCTCCCAGTTTCCTTTCCATTCTCTTAACCCTAAACCCTAAAACCCCTAAAAACCCTAAACCCTGAAACAAGTCGTGCCAAGACCACACCTCCACCACGGCGCGGATGTCCGCAGCTCCAGGGGGAAGCTGGCTGCCATCTGTGCAAGGCTTGTAGGGCGCAGGGTTGAGGGGTTTAGGGCTTGGGGATTGGGGTTTAGGCGGGTTGCGGGTTTGAGGGTTTGGGGCTTAGAGGGTGTGGGGTTTAGGAGGTCTGGAGGGGAGTTTAAGGGGTTTAGGGCTTCTGGGGGGTCTAGCATTACTCGGCTTTACAATTTACGGAGTTCAGGGCCTGGTGTTTTGGGGCCGTCAGGGTTTCCAGCTAACCCTCCCGGATTCTTCCACGTTTGGACTCTTGCAGCACCCGAAATCATGAACCCTGAGCCCTTTGCAGCATCATAAGACTGTGGTTGGGAGTTGAGCGCGCGAAGGGGCCCCCAAGCATCATTAGCCTATCCCAACTCTACCCTACCACCCCCCCCCGCCCCCGTATCTGCCCACAGCATCTTCATGGTACGTGCGCATCCACGGTCAGTCATAGCATCCATATAAATACCTCCACAACTGCAAGTTTACTGCTCTTTGCAGCGAAACAAGATACTAGCGAATGCATGCCCAGATCCATGATAACGTCCACCACGACCGCATCCACAACAAGTGAACCCATGCTGGCACCCATAATAACGTTNNTCACTTCGACCACATTCACAACCACGAAAACACTGATATACACAGCACATTCCGATGAGCGGGCATTTGGCGCGGGCAAATAAGGAGGGGGGGGTCGTAAATTTATACATGTACTGGAATCTTTTCAAACCTCATGATGGGGCCTACTGTCTTGGAATTGCTTCCCAAAGCCTGGACCCCAACCCTAAACCAAAAGACCTAAACCTAAAACCCCAAGCCCCAAACCAACACCATTAAGCTGCAAATCCCAAACGCGAAGCCCTAAGCCTTGACCCCCAAGGCCCAACATCTACAAGGAAGAGGCCTTGTGACTTTCCAAACTTGCCCTTCACGCGCATCTCGCTGTACTCCCGCGTCGCAGCCATGAGCCTCCCAACGAGGAGCTGAAAAGGCGCGGCCAGGGCCCGGCTTAGGGCTGAGGGAGGCTTGGGGTAAGGTCTTAGGGGTGCTGTAAGGTCGAGGGGGCCGAGGACTTGTAGTACCCTACACTCTCAGCCTCTAGCATGCTTCTCCTGAGCCCTTGAGCCCATTCTTCAGGTCATGATCAAACTTTTCGTCGCAGGCTCGGCCACAGGCAGGGCTTAGGGCTTACTGGGTTCATGGTTTAGGGTTTAGGGTTTAGGGCCCAGGGCACTTTGGTTTAGGGCTTCGGGTTTGGGATCCAGAGCTTGGAGTTCGCCTCTTGGGGCAAGAAATCAAGCGTGATTCGAAAGCATGTGGGTGTTGCGCCCTCATTTCCATAACTCATGCCGTGTTGGCCGGTGTCTTGATTTCAAGTGCGCGAGCTAGGCTCTCTTCAGTACGAGGAGCCCAAACGGCACGTGTTCCGCCTGTCTCAAGTCACAACTGAGACCCCCAGATGCCGGAGCCGTTACCTTTGTCCAGAGGCTCCATGAAGATGATAGACCCAGATGCCGCCCTCCGCGTGGCTCCTTGTCCTGATTCTTGCACGAGCAGTCTCATTCGTCGGTGGAATCTAGTTTGGCAGCATGGCGTGCAGTTGATGCGCATTTTCATTTTCAACCTGATCTATTCAAGTCCATCTGGCAAGAGGAAAGTTTCTTTCGCGCAACGCCACAACGGTGGCCTACACTGCCACGGCCGCCGCACAACTTTGGCGCGCGAACGCGGCCAGCGGTATCGGAAGGCACCTGGCCCGCGCTTGTGGCGCTGGAGAGCACAAATACGGAGCTGGCCGATCTGCACAGTAAGCTCGAAGGCATTGCCTTGGGATATTCCTAGCTCTTCGGGGATTCGCTCTACCTTTGAGCGCTCATACAGGGCAGCCCTTAACACAAGTTTGCCCTGTGTTTGTTGCTGGGGTCCCAGTTGCCTACATTTGCAAAGGTGACGGCATCCACCAGGTCAAAGCGAGCTGTCGCGAGGTCGCGGTTGGCCCGCTGTTCATCATCAACATCGAAAACCTTAGCTTGAGTCAGGGCTTTGGGCTATAGCTATGCTATAGTCACATAAGAGCTCTATGGTAGCTATTTACACAAGGCGCATACACCCCTAATGCTAAATATCTCCCCAAACTGTGAGGTCTGTTGAGCGCAGTAAGAAAAGCCACCCCGAGCTTCCGTGGAACCCTCGAAAACAATAGTCATTCTCCCGTTTAGCCGTTCAAAAGGTCATTGAAAGACCAAAGTTCCCATGCCGCTGTTATGCCTTCTGAGGCAATTGCAACTCTAGCCGTTTGTTGAAACTCTGGCTGTAAACACGAAAAAATGATGTTCAAAACCCGCCTGCCGGAACATGGTACACCAGTTGCAGTAAAGCTACCTCTTTCCCGCAAGTCCAAAGCCAGACAAAGTCCTGCGACCCAATGTACTCGACCAGATCCAGCAGCTTGCTGAAAACCTCGCGCGGGGCGTAGGTCATTCCATTGGCCACAATCACATCAAAAGGTTGGCCACCGTTGGCCGCCAGAAGCGCCGATCCAGTGATATCCGTTGTTGTAAGATCATGTTCAAGAACTGGAAAAGACACGTTGTTCAACATCTGGTTGGCCCGCATCAACTGGAGCTCTCCCAAATCCTGCTCGAGAGCAACTACCTGGTGACCTAGCAGTGACAAGACTACGGAATCAATGCCCTTGCCCGCGCCGATGTCGGCCACGCGCAACTTCCGCCCAGGGCCACCATCGCCAAGAAGCGGCTCAAGCAAGTGTGCTTCCGCAAGGAGGTTGGGGTAAAAGCTGAAGTAGTCCTTACCTTCCCAATAGCCCACTTAACAAACAAGTGGGATGGCCTAGACCCCAAAACCGCACACCAGAAGCCCTGAACCAACAATGAATCTTACCTCAAATTCTAGGGAAAAAACCACACTCAGGCAAGGCCACCTAGCATCCCAGTCAGTGGGCCCAAGTTTGGCCAGCATCATGGGCAGGCCAGCAAATTGCAGACGGACTACTCGGCCACCGCTTGGGCAAATTGTACCTGTGGCAACCCAAACCTCTCAACCCTAAACCCTAAAGTTTGGGTTCGAGGTTTCACCCTGAAGAAACACTGCGGCCCCCAACTCCCGAGATTGGGTCAAAGCTATGAACCCCTAAACACCCCTTCTTGGGCCCGCAAAGTATGTAGAACATGGCCTGTATGCCTATCCTCGAAAGTGTCAGGCCGTGATTCTATGCACTTTTGAGGTCTAGGTTCTCTCGGATCCCTGAGCCCTTGACCCCTGTTGAACCTGGGCCGTAAAGGTAGCCGCAACATCGTCGTCGAAGTGTATGCTGGGGAGGAGTATTGGGGACATCCGTCCAACAGCGGGCAGCTCGTCCCCAATCAGTGCAACAGCACTCCATGTAAGGGTAGAGCAGATTCGTGTTCAGCTCCTGTGGAACTCTGAGTTTTGAAGTACAGTGGCAAAACGATTCGTAAGACAAGAAACGCAACAGATGAGCTATTAGCATGTTGCCATTTCATGTACTGTACTGTTCCGGATATTTGTTCATAGACGCATCTTCTGCGCACAAGCGCACCCCCAAAGCATCAAAGGACATGAACGCTAAAACTCTTCTCAACAGCTTTCCAGGGCACCTTGTCAAGACCTGACTTCAGTGACTACAGCCACTAAAACCAGCTCTGCAAGAACGCATATGATTGCCAGTAACCCTCGGTTCAGGGTTTAGGGACATCCTGAGCCTCACTCAAATCCGTTCTGGTGGTGCTACACTATAGTGGTCGGCTTTCCCTTGAATTTGCTATAGCTGCTACTATCAATGTTGGACCCGCTTATGCAGGGG